TATATATATATATATGTGCATGCGTTGGTGTCATTCTTTTGAGGATATCACATGTACTATTATACATAAGTGTGCATGTGCTTTCATCTCACAGTTGCCCAGGAGCCGAATCCACCTATGTGCCTATCTCCACCTTTATCTATCTGCCTACCAATCTACCTACTTGTCTACCGATGTATCTATCAATCTATTTATCTATCCATCCATCTATCTGTCTATCTATGTGTCTATCCATCCATCCATCCATCCATCCACCCAGTCATCCTCATCTATCCATCTACCTACTTTGTCTACTTGTCTACTTATCCTATCTATCTATCTGTCTATCCATCCACGCAGCCACCTATGCACCAATTCATACATGCATACATACATGGTTCCGTTTTTCAGCTCCGAAACCCGACGGCGGCCACAGCAAGGCCAACACCTAATCCCAAGCCAAGTGAATGCGCCTGTCTCGGATTCCGAGGCTTTGACAGGCCAGGAATCTTCTGGAGACGTCCCCGCCTTGGATTCTGAGGGTTCTCTGAAACCTCAAAAGCCCAGTAAAGTTTAAGGAGAAGCTGGAATCAGGACAAGATCTCGAGCTTAAGCTCTGACTCGAACCCTCGGGATCCAGGTGCTCCATGTGTTCTGGTGTTGTTTGCTTCTTCTCTCCACCTTGTCTTGTTCCGGCGCCGGAACCTGCGCCTGTGTAGGTGCTCCGGTGCTTTCAGAGTTATGATGGCGTCTTGCTCTGTTGTACGGTGGCATATGAAGAAAGTATTCGTAGCTTCATGGGCATAAGTTAATTTAGAACAGCCGCCAAATCCCACAATGGCATCCTTGCGATCAGAAGCAGTGAAGAATAGAGTCCGGTTAGAGTACGGTGCATATGGGTGCTCCCCAGGGGCAATCTATCTCCTGTTCGCAGCCGCTCAAAGCCCCAAAATGCCTGCTACTCTAGTACCATCAACATTAGTACTGTTTCTACTAATACAACCAATACGAATACTGATAACTGGCATACTAGTGCTAATACCATGCTCAGAAGATGGAAGAGCTACTCCAGTCCGAGGAGGCGCGCTCCTGACTTCTATGAGGGTGGCAGGTTTGACGGTTCAGGCTTTCGAGTCTTGGTTCGGCAATCTGGGGGCCAGTGAAGGAGCACAAGCATGGAAGCTCAACTTCAAGACGCTGTCGGCTCAGCGTGGACCAGCCTCAAGCCCCGCAACTTCAAGTCCTCGCCAGGACCTGAAGTTCAAAGAAAATGAGCCGCAGCCCACCAAGGTCCTCCGGCCCGTCCGCGGGCATGCAGGGCTTCCGGCCATAGAGCTTATGAGCAGTTATAGGGAATGCTCAACCATAAGTTGCTTCCAGTGCCCTTTGACCCCTTGGTGTGTGAAGGCCTTGATTGCTGAAGTCTTTCGCAGATGCCGCATTCTTTTTGTTGAGAAGCTTGGCGAAAATGGGCTGAGTACAAGGTTTGTGGCTTAGATCTTGAGGCGCTTCCACCCACATATACCTGCATACATACATAAATGTGTATGAGTATGTATGTATATATAATATACACACATTTTTCGTAAACTTAGATATTCACTAAGTTATAGTCTGAATCTGCATTTGCATACATACATGCATACACAGACACAAAGGAGCCAAGCAAGAGCGTGAAGATCCCCAGGGTTTGCCACGCCGGGCTTGTTCGGCATGCAGGGTGTCAAACTGAGACTCCCACACGAGCCCCCGCTCTAAAAACATAGAGTGGCATGTTGGAAAGCATGGAGTCGATGGTTCTGATAGCAGGGGCTTGCGCTTTTGTAAAATGTTTTCGGTGGCACAATGCCGACGGTGGCTAGTCAGGAAAGGCGCGGCTCAAGCTTCGTTTGAAGTTGTGAACATCGCAATGTGAAAGATCAGTCTGACAGTCTGCCAAAGGCACTAATCATTGTAGAACAAAAGGGGCGTCATCATCGTGGAAGAATGAGGGTGTTGTTCTTCACGATTGTGGGCTCACTTTGTAGTCAAGGGGTTCAGGTAAACAAGACGTACCTACACAAAGGAGCTTGGAATCGTTAAGGATGGAGCGATCCGATTCTTTTTTGCCCTCGCGTCCAGCCTTGGGCCTGGTCTGGGGAAGTCTGGGGAAGGGCGGGTTCCCGTCACGCGGAGGCCGACGAAGCGAACAGCCCAGCCCAAAGCAAGGCGGCCTGGCAGCAGTAGTCCGGAAGACCCCAGCCCTCGTCGATGTCCTCGTCGTTGTTGTTGTAGTGATTGTAGTGGTACCAGCAGGCGAAACGAATCAGCAAGAAGTATGACAGGACGGACAAGAGGCAACAACCAGCGATGAGAAGCCTTCGGAGGAAGAGGTGAAGGACTCGTCCTGCCAAGGGGAGGTAGTTCAGTTCTTAGAGAGATGGCATATTGGTGCCTGAAGGTTCGAGCCTTTTCGCTTAGGACAGCTTGTGCTGGTCGTATAGTACTGCGAGTGCTGCGTAATCCTGTCAGTGTTAGGGCTGCTACTTGGGATTGACTAGGACTTTCAAGCAGGTTCACCGCCGGCCACTGACAGAAGAGACGAATGCAGTAAGTGCCGTGCAATCTACAGGGCTGTGGGTTGATATTTCTTCGCGCCACGCGGCCGCCTGCCTAACCCGATGACGTTGTTCATGGCTGCTCTTCGTGGGGCGTCCCGGCCAATAAGGCCAACACTGAGACCCCAGATTCTCGAAGCAGGAAGAGGCGAAGAAAGAAGAAGCCGCCGAGATCAAGGATGAGCTGAAAGATGAGGGGGAAGACGCGAAGCAGGAGGCCGAGGCCAAGGAGATGAAAGCTGAAGAGGAGATGAAGGAGGAGGAGGAGGACGAGGAGCAGGCACCCACCGACACCTGGATGGGATCCCTTTCAGATTTCTTGTTTAGTGCCCTAATTGACTTGGAAGGCCTCGAGGCCAAAGCCATCATCTCTTCCCATGATGGTTTCAGGCCTACGCGAATTCCTAAGTGCATCAACTGGGTCCTTCCGGCGAGGCAGAAGAGACCTGACAAATAGCCCTGGCATGCCCTACCAGACACGGATGTTCCGACATGAGTATGTAGGTCGTCAGAATTACGACCTGGCCGCGCCTGAACGCAGGTGAAAGAAGAGGTAAAGGAGGAAGATGTCGAGATGCAGGAATGTGCAGCAGAGAACCCGGTCAGCTTCAGCCCACATCCCTAAGTTCCGGAGTTCATGTAAAACCTGAGCCGAGAGTCTCGTGTCGGCCTTAGCTCACCTCAGCCTGGGAGTCGGTCTTTTGAGCTTTGCAGAGACCCCGTGTGGCCTTCGTCTCCGTTGGATAAGGGGCCACTTCGGTCCTAGATCGAGATTTTTTCTCTTTCCTCCGCCTTTCGCAGGGCTCCACGCTGCTCTAGTGCATGCCTTCATCAGGTAGTGAAGCCGAGAGCTGCCGCGTACCCCGACAGCGCTGTTCAGACGGCCACATATCAGAAGCACAATCCAGGCACCCCGAATTCGCAACGGCCTTGAAATGTAAATCCAGAAAGCCAGCAGGGCATCAAGCACCCCGTTTTGGAGAATCCTATACCTGGCTTCGCTTTGGGGCATGTAGTTTGTGGTGCTTTTTGTATTCTGCTACATGCGCTCTAGTCGAAATTGAAATCAGTGCATGGCATGACTACCGAGTTTGCTGCCGTTTGCTCGTCTCTCCATGAAAGGACGTGAACAAGCAGAGCCCCCCGGAATTCTGGGGTTACAGTTTACCCAGCGCATCCGAGCCCGTCGAGGCTTAGCGTTGAGCCCGAGCGTTCGGAATACTTTCTCAGCGTCCGATTTCGACTGTATTCAAGATTCAAGGTTGTTGCTGGAGGCAGGCAGAAATCACGGCATACGCACGACATGGCCAGTCACACCGCTGGACTAGCATCCAAATCCGAGTGCTGCAGTTCTTCAGTCCCCCGTGAACATCCCTACACCCGAGCCTAAGCCATAGAAGCCCTACACCTAACCTCGCCTCCCGACTCAGTTCTGGATGAGCAGCCATGGGCCAGCACTCCGCGCGTCCCAGCTGCGAGCCGCCGCAGCGTCGCACCGGCGAAGGCCGACTCGACAAAAGGTCCGAAGGTTGTCGGCTCAGGGTTTTAAGGTCTGGGGTTCGGGATGTACGGGTTTGGTCTCAGTCATTTAGTTTCGAGTACCTTGTTGGAGCAAAAAGGCATATCTTTATCCATATCTCTGTGTGTATGTTGTGTATGTCTATCTCTATCTCCTTATGTATCTATCTACCTATCTATCTAGCTATCTATCTCTCTAACTATCTACCTACCTACCTACCTACCTATCTACCCATCCAACTACCTATCTATCTATCTATCTATCTATCTAGCTCTCTCTCGATCTCTATATCTAGCTATCTATCTATCCATCTATTGATCTATCTATCTATCTATATCTATATCTATATCTATATCTATATCTATATCTATATCTATATCTATATCTATATCTATATCTATATCTATATCTATCTATCTATATCCATCTATCTATCTACCTATATCTATCTATTTATCTACCCACCTGTCCATCTATCTATTTATCTACCCTAAGCTAACCTAATCTGTTTTTCTATCTATCTAACTATCTGTCTATCTATCGATCTATCTATCTTTTTGTCTATCTATCTGTGTATCTATCTTTCAATCTATCTATCTGTTTCTCTATCTATCTGTCTGTCTATCTACCTACCGATCTATCTATCTATCTATCTATCTATTCTATCTGAAATCTAATCCTTCTATGTAATATATTTTATCTATCTATCTAACTATCTGATCCAATCCAATCTAATCTAATCTAATCTATCTATCTATCTATCTGTCTGTTTGTTCTGTTCAATATAGATGTATACGCACACACACACACACAGACACACGCAAACACAAGCGCACACACACACACACACGCACGCAGAGAGACAGATTATATATATATATGCATGCATGCAGAGAGTTCTATGTGCAGCTACATTCAGGTCGGTCAGAGGCTGCGTGAGCGCTCGTTTAGTCATTGCCCATGGTGATGTTTTCTGTTCAGTTTCGCTTCAGACGAACCATGAAACTAAAAAGTACACACACACACAACAACAAACAAAGACAATAGCGGCTGTGGGCTGAAATGATGGCAGTAGATACAACTTCGTGTAGCTCGGGAAAAAGCGCGTTCAAGGCTTTCCGGCATGTTGGCTTCAGAGTTGTCAACTTCGGGCTTGGGGCTTTAGGTTTAGTTTATTTGCTCCCAGAACTGGCAATCCTAGACACTGCTCCTCATAAACCCTAGACTCTCAACCCTGAGGTACTGCGGGCATTGCAAAGGGCCGATCAGGAAAGCACCAGAGCTTCACTTCTTCTTGAACAGTCCCTTTCAGCCCCACGAGTTCTTCTCCTGTCTTCTCTGTTAGATATACACTGGCCTACGGGTGATAGCCAGCACTATCAGAATTTCTATCATCCGCTCCGCTGGAGACAGGAACCCCATCCACGAACCCCCAGCCCCAAGATGTGTCAAATCATGTCTCGCAAAGCCTGCAACCCACGACGCAAACCCCACAGTAAAACCTAGGACCTAGCATGCGCCCTAAAGCCTAAAGCCTCGCACAACCATCATCACCGCATACGACCCCACACAGGCCTGAAGAAGGCCCTCCTGAAACTCTTACAGCCCTCCAAGAGGAACCTTTCGAGGAGTCCGTAAGAGATCCGATCTGGTTCCCTAAACCCCTATAAACCCCTATAAACCCCTAAACCCCTATAAACCCCTAAACCCCTGTAAACCCTAAACCTTAAACCCCTAAACCCCTGTAAACCCTAAACCCCTAAACCCCTATAAACCCTAAACCCCTATAAACCCTAAACCCTAAACCCCTGGTTCAGGCGCTGCCGAGGAGCCTCTCACGGGCTTCCTTCTTCGACAGCGGGGAGCGAGATGGGAGTGGCAGAAGGCGGCTGGGTGCTTTTAGGGGCCCTTTCTGGGACATGTTCGTGTTTAGGTGTTTCAGTCTTGAAGCAGGGGCTTTGGGGCTTTAGGCCTTTTTTTTTGGGTGTAATTTTTGGGTTTTATAGGGTTTAGACAGTTTTTGGCTTAAACTTTTCGGGTAGCTGAGGTGCTCGCGGATCCGTGGGAGCTCCGCGCCTTTTCTTGGCCTCGGGGCCGGGAGGCGCCAGAAGTGTGGCTTGAGGGTATAAGGGGTTTTGGGGTTTGAGGGTATAGGGTTTTTGGGGTTTAGGATTTGGGGTTTAGGGGTTTTGGGGTTTTAGGGATTTGGGGTTTAGGGATTTAGGGTAGTTTAGGGTTTAGGGAAGGTTTAGGACGGGTTTTGGGGCTTCAGGGTTCAGGCGTGATGTGGAGGTTTGGAGGCTTTGGGTTGATGTATCGGTTTTAGTTTGCGTCTTGAATCATAAAACGTGTCGTATTGGGTGTTCGACTGTGAGGGTAGCTCCACCCATGATAAAGGGGGCATAGGCTGCAGGAATGTGATCATGCAGCGTAGGACCTGAAGGGTTTTACATTGAGGGCTTCGTGTGGCACTTGTTGGAGGGCTGTCAGGGCTTAAAGAGGATTTATATGTTTTGTTTTGATGGCTTGGGGTCTCAATGTCGGAGCCATGAGGTCGCAGCTACTTCGAAGAAAGGACTTTTGGCCGGTTGACTGAGTCTTCTACGGCACTGTTTTTGTTTCGTCGTCCGAGCTTTTCTTCTTTAAAGTTGTTTAACTGTCTCAACTCAGCATCCGAAAGTGGAGCTGGAGAAACCTGGCCTTCTGATTTGATGGACTGGTGGATTCACGTTGCCAGGCTCGTTGCTCGTTTCCCGAATCTTGCAAGTGGCCTTCGGGCCATCTCAACTCGAGAGGGGTTGGGGAGTGGCCCTGTCCACAACGCATCCCCTCCATGATATGAAATTCCCTGCATCGACGCATGGCGCGCGAGCTGTTTGTTGACAACATTCCGAGAGTCACAACTAGTATAGTAGGTTACCTGGAATGCTGTTCTTCTGACTGAGCTTCAATAGCCGACAGCTCGAATGTCCATACCAATGCCTTGCAGCATCGCTCCTTAATGGACATAATGATTTGGGTCTTATCTTTAGGACTGACAGGGAGACACAGGAGGATGGCATTAGTTGTGCTCTTGTTCTGTTGATAGATGTGAGTGTGTCTGTCTGTCTGTCTGTCTGTCTGTCTGTATGCATGCATGCATGCATGTATGTATCCTCTCGGATGGGTGGATGCTTTCGGATTCAGTCGGCCGAGAACCCTCAGCAGCAGCCCAACCTCGAACCCCTCACTTTTCAACGTTCAGGGTCGTCAAAACTTGTTAATAGTCATAGTCATTATAATCATTGAGAATCGGGGAATCTGAGCGTTGCGGACCCTATCTCCAGGCAGGCTGCGTCGAGATGTCTGAAGTCGTCAAGGCGGAGCGAAGCGAGATTCATACGATTGAGGGCAGTGCGAGAGCCTGTTCGGGCCACGACCGGTGAAAGGTGTTTTTTTACAGTACAGGTTGAGACATATTGTCATATTGTTCTTCAGCGCCATTTGGGTGTGCATTGTCTTGCTCTAAGCTGGAAAACATGATTGAGAGACGTAGCCGCTAGCATGAGCACCAGTCGAAATCTGCGACTCGGCTTGAAACCATGTATGGAGGGCTTCAGAATAGGGGCCCATATCCCAAGAAGGGCAACCTCAATGCCTGCCAAGACCCTGTCTCTATATAGCTATACTTCAAAGGGGAATCCCAAAAGGAGCCCTTAAAAAGCCTGTAAGCCCCTAGAGGCGGAGACTCTTTGGCTCGTGGATCCGCAGGTGCCTTGCTCAGTATTTTGGCTTCAGGGCTCTTTGCCAGAGGCCAGGCATTTTGGGGTTTAGGTTCAAGGCTTCGGGCAGGTGTATAATCGTAGCGCCTAGTGGGACGCGATGCGTGCTGCGAGGGAAGCAATTCCGGAGTGCGCGCGTGAGTGTGCATTCCCATTATGGTACCGTGACCGATCTTGCCGAAGCGAGTGGCTAGTCTCTGCGAGACGCCACAGCTGCTCGCAGACGAAGCAGCCTCGCCAAGGGACGTGTTGCAGTCTCAAGCACGGCACCGACGATTGAACCAGTGGGCACTCACGTGAGGTCTGCGTGGTGCCGCTAGGGGCCCGTGCCGAAGCACCGAGCGG